CGGGGCTTTTCATGCTGCTTGGCTTCCTTCCTCTCACCACCAATACGTTGCATGTACTCTGCGGTTTAAGTGCCACCTATCTCAGTTAGGTTATACTCCCAACACCATTCATTTTGTAATTCAGTTTTAACCTACCAGCCATAATAGTGCGTTGATGCGTAGTTTTTAGTATATTTTAAAATTACCTGTACATCAGTCAGTTTTGATTATTTATGCAGTTGATCCTGAGGAGCTGTAACTCTGGTTTCACCCACACTGAATGCTAAGTGCAAAATGCTTTGACACTCAGGAGCTCTCATTTCCCTATCAAGACATCTGTCGTCATTGAAAGAGAAAGTAGATTTGGCATAAGGCATTTATTTATTGCTTACCAGTTTCAATGACTGTTAGATGTCTAGGCAGAGCTTCATTTAGGAGAAGGTTGGTGGCATAAGCAAGACCATTTTTGTAAAAAAAAAACCCCAAACAAAAAAAACACAACAAAAAAAGTTTAAACTACAGCAAAGCTGTTAAATAGCCTAGTATAGGGAAGGGGAGGAAAATACTCTGTAACAGAGTAAAGAAATCTAAGAGCACATGTTTGCTAGAGACAGTAGTAATGTTACTACTACATTGTTGTACAAAACATGAAAGAACTTTCTTTATCAGAGGCTTCCCTTTCTCCTGAAGGTACTTTCTCTGGTTTTGTTCTAACCAGTAAGACTTAAAGACCGGTCACTTAAAAAACTGGCAACAGAGGTAGAAGACATACTTCAAGCACTGAAAGAATTCATAACTGAAATTAGTTAACTGTTGGAATAGACTAACGTAAACCTTGGTTCAGTAGCCACAGGCAAAGTTTCATTTTAAAAACATATTTTGTTTTGCAGAAGTCCTGAATACTCTAAGAGTAAAGCATACATAGAAAGTGTTTCTTTTGTGATTGAGTTATACCAAATATATGAATTGATAAAGCATGTCTGAACTGATATACTGGATTAGTTTGTAAAATACTTTCAATTAATGTGATCGGTTGTGGCAGTGAAATAAATACCTAATTTCTCTGAAATTGTGTTTTAACTGTATCTAACAAAAGCTGTCAAAAATCAAAACAAGCAGTCTTTGCTTTTGCAGGTATTGCAAATACTGGAAATAGTATCAGATTACTGGATTTTATGTATAAAACAAGATGCCTTTGTAGTTTTTGTAGGGCGTCTGCATCTTTTTCTTCTGTTGCCATTGGAATAAAAGTACAAATTTTGGAAGGGTAGTTACACAGAAGGGTTATGCAAAACTCAGATTTTCCATGTGTGAACCTGTTACACTTCGTTGGCATGGCAGGTTCAGTTCAGCAATATTGAAGAAAAAAAAAGCCTAATACAGTGCATGCATGAGCATCACTTTTTGAATACTGGAGAGATTACATTTCTCATCAATAGGTATATTCCCTTGGACTTATTCCTGACACAGGGTGGGGTGTCTGCTGTATACATGTGTGTGAGCTTTTAACAGATTTCATGTGAATTCAGAGTCCTGATCCTCCCCTCCTGGTGTTTCAGTTAAATTCCTGGATCCTGGTCTGAGTGACACAGCAGGAAACCCAACATGTACAAGCTCTTAAGTTGAATCATAGTGAATTTATGGAAGAAACAGGTATATGTTCTTTGGATAGACTTCTCTTCCAAGATACTGAGTCACTGAATATACTGCTTTATATCCAGGTCCCCTCAAAAAAATGCTTACGTAGGTAATGTAGCTTTTAAATACAGCCTGTGTATGGGTAATAGAGATACAAAAAATAACTGATAGAAGGTAAGTTAGAGTTGATTTGAAATGCATATTAAAAAACATGATTTGGAACTGTCAGGTCAGGAACTTAGGGTAGAGCCACTGTTACTGAAAACAGCTTTTCAAGCATTAACAATGTGATGCAGTGTGAGAAGGGAGCTCTGCCATCCCTTCAGGTCAGCTACACTTACAGATCTGCACCAGATTAGGAAGCTGGGGTCTTGGCTGACTCCCTGTTTCCAAACGTGTTTTTGAGATTTCGTTCCAGTTCAGTTTCAGCCATAACTGAAGTTGCATCTGCTTTTGGGGTTTAAGTTGAGTTCGTTCTTCTACCAGAGCTCCTTGTTGCAGATCTTTACAAATATTTAGGCAATTACTGACTAATCTTTTGACCTTTTGTCTGCATCATTGTTCTTAACAGTATAATATAAAGTCAGCAGTGTTATAGGAGAAGGGCAGAGAACCTTCTGGGAAAGTCTCCTACCAACAGTGGCCAAACAATCCAATGCAGTGAAGTGTTCTTTGCCCTGCTTTTCCTGTTTGAGAGAGAGATTCAGGCATCGAATAGCTAGCTCATTCCTGACCAGATGTATAAGGAGCTGCAATGAAATGGTGCTGTGGTGGGTTGACCTTGGCTGGATGCCAGGTGCCCACCAAGCCGCTCTATCACTCCCCTCCTCAGCAGGACGGGGCGGGGAGAAAATAAGATGGAAAAAACTTGTGGGTTGAGATAAAAGCAGTTTAATAAAGCAAAAGCAAAGGCCATGCGCGGAAGCAAAGGAAAACAAACTATTTATTCTCTACTTCCCATCAGCAGGCGATGTCCAGCCTCCTCCCGGGAAGTTTCAGTATGCGTAGCAGTTGCTCCAGAAGACAAACATTGTAATAACGAATGCCCCCCCTCCTTTCCTTAGCTTTTATTGCTGAGCAGACATCATATGGTATGGAATATCCCTTTGGTCAGCTCGGGTCAGCTGTCCTGGCTATGTCCCCTCCCAAGATCTTGCCCACCCCCAGCTTACTGGTGAGGGGGCAAAATAACTCCATCTCAGCCAGACCCAATACATGTGCTTTGCACCTCGGCTTCTAGTCTGGTAACATTGCACTTGATTTTGATGTGTGGTTACGTGCTGTGGCTCCTTTTTAGAGGTAGTAGGATTCGTCTCACATCTTTTTTTTTTTTCTCCCCTTCAACTGATAAGATTTGTATCTGTAACATAACTTTCTTTTTGACAGGTAATTGGAAAGGATGATGTAGCTGTGCCATCCCACCTATACAAGGTGATCCTTGCCAGACGGAGCAGAACATCTACAGAGCCCTTGGTACTGGGGGCTTTTGTGGTGCCAAACGATTCCATAGGCTTCAGTCACCAGCTGACTGAGTTCCAAGTAAATATTGAAGATCTGGAAAAAATGTCAGGTTTAGTTTTCTTCCCCCAGGTGGACAAAACCAAAGATGTTAAAAACATCTGTGAAGTAGATACCTGTAAACTGATGGGCTTCAAGGAATTTACATTGTACATCACTGCTCGAAAAGTGCAGAGTGCCCGTACATTGCATCGGTTGGAGAAAGCCATGTCAGAGTTAAGGGAGGCAGGAATTGAGCCCGATGAGTATCTTCTAAAGCTTCACAGGAAGAAGGAAGAAGAACTACTGCAGGAAAAACAAGTAGCAACTAGAGAGGGGAAAGCTGGCTGAGTACTTGTTCGGAAAGATGTTTGGGGTTTTGTACTTCGAAAGGGGAGCTGAAGGCAAACACAAAGACAAGGGCTCTATGAATTATCCTTTTTTGAATTGTGAAAACAATAAAGAAGCATTTGGAAGCTGATGGGTTTGGAATAACGTTCATTCTCGTGTAACATGATGCACACACATGGTTTGCTGCAGTACTTAGATGTGGGAAATGAAAATGACCCCTTTCTGGCATGAATAGATACTGGACCTCCAGAAAAGGCTTTGTGCTATTTTCCAAGCAAGACGTCAGACTTGCGGTTTGTATGGAATCCCTTCTAGGAATATTATAAAAATAGACAGTAGACACCTTGGGAGTATAACTGGAACATGTTTAAATGTAATTCCGCCTGCAAATGTCTTTCACTGTGATGCTGTAGAAGCAATGGTACTTTCAGGGATTTTTAAAAATTAAATTAATTTAGAAATACTTCATTTAACAAAAAGAGACCTGCAAGACATAATCAGAATCCCTTACACTCTTTACTTAGTTGTGTTAACCAAACCAGATTGTCTCTTACCTCTCCTGACCTTGTGTGCTTTGGATACTTTAGCATGTCAGGAGCTGTCAACTGTTGTCATTTGCAGCGGACTTCTTCCATTCGTGTATAATTCTGCAATTTTTTTAAAAAAACAATAGAAGCAGAGTTTACACAAGTTGCTACCAGTGTGGATTGGGTCTTCATAAATTAATGTAAGCTTAGTATTTCCCTTTCACCACTAAGTTTGGATAAATGTGTTTTCTTGCATATTGTTTGGTTTGAGAGGTGAGCACTGCTTTCTGTTTGTTTGCGGTAATCAGTCACTGGCTTTTTGCCCAGCATGAGTCTCTGGTCTATAAACTTTGCAACAAAACTTCTATGTGAAAACAGAAGATTGACTAAAAATGCATTTCCAGTTCTGTTTCAGCAGCAACTGAAGTTGCTCAGATTTGCATCTGCTTGGGAGATTTAATGAATTTTTTTTTTTTCATTAGTTTTGTACTTTGTTTGTGTATGTATCTTGAATTTCAGACATAAATTAGTGTGACTTGTACACTCTGAGATTTTTCATCTGGAAAGAAAGAGTAAAAACTGGAAATATTTAGATTTTCTTTAATTGTAAGAATCTATATAAATTTGGAGTTACGCCATAAAAACACCTTCAGTAGTTTTAACGTGAGAATTAATAGTTTCTGAGAAGGGTCATGTAGTGCCAAGGCTGAACTGGGCTGTTTTCATAACGGATGAATCAGGAGCATTATTTGGATGTTGTGAATCATCGGCTGGATGTTCTAAAAACTGTATAGTTTCCTTCATCGCAGTTCAGTTGCAGTATCCAAAAGTAGATCACTTTATAAAGCAGTTATGTTTCCCATGACACTTTTGTGTTTGCCAAGAACACACTTATAAAATCCAGACATTTAAAACCAGAGAAATGTAACTAGCAAAGGACATCATAAAAGCTTACTGCCCACATAAATTAGAGAGAAATTGGGTGAAATCCTGACAAAACTTGCTCATTTCAATTTTAGCCCAGGATTTTGGTTGTTAATCCTATCAAATGTAACAAAAACAGTAAATCGCAAAACAACGAGCCACCTCTCCCTTTGCAGAACGTGGGAGATGTCGGTGTGTGTTGCCCGGAATGACAAAGTGCCAGATGCTTCATGTGCCTCTTGATGGTCTTGCGTGTGCTTCACTGGAGTCCAAGCAGCCTTTTGGCACTGCGATGGTCTCACTCTTTGGAAAGGTACCTGGTCATTGCTCTTTGCATTGTCTTTCTCTTTTCCCCGTTATTTATGTTCCCCATTTTTTAATTCGGCCTTCCACCTTCCCTTTCCTCTTGATCCTTTCAAGCTGAGAGGTTACAGACCTCTCCTGCAGTGCTCACGCACACTTTCGGACAGCTGAAACAGATCTCAGTGCTACAGATACGTGTCCATCCATAGCGAAAAACCTCTTTTGGGACAGCACGGGTTGTATGCGAGGAGCTCCAGGTGTCTTCCCTTTCTGCTGACAGCTCGCCATTACGAGAACAGCCGAAGTGCCGAGTGTGACTCTCCAGCGGAGGCCTGCTATGGAGACTTGCTGCTCCCTAACTCAGTACCTCCTCGGGCCTCATGTGCCCCCTTGAATTCCTGCAAGCCCCATTTACCATAATTTTCATGCTTCGTGGCTCACCGCGTAGACGAGACTCTCTATATAATTTTCAGCTCTGTTTAAGTGTGGTCGGTGTTCCTCAGCTCCCCGTGGAGGGTGGCAGCAGGTGGTGAACGGTGAAACCACTTCCAGCGCTGGTCTGTGCCGAAGAGTATGTTCACCCGCTCGTCTTCTGCTGGTTTCCTCCTCTGAAGTAACTGTGGGGTCTAGCATATAGCAAAACAAATGGACTTTCTTTACAGTAGGAAATATAAAACAAGTAATAGCAAGGGGGTGAGGCTTTACACACTTGTTTGAGCCACCTCCATAGGTAATTGCCTCAAGATCCTTCAAGAGAACTGTGCTCGTGTCCGTGTCCGTCTGGCATTCCTGTTGCACACTTAATCACTTCCCTGCGTGCATCTGTAGCGACAATACGAACCTCTGTGATGCTGCTAAGCAGCAGGAGTCCTGGAAATGGAGAAGTCTATCCTTTGTTCCTCCACTGTTTTAATGTTTGTTTTTAAAGCTAAATAACCGAATCGCGAGGGAAGTTGACGACTAGGCTGTCTGCAGCCTGATATCAGTGATTTTCTGATATTCCCTTGACTGTCTACTCTAGTACTCTGTTACTGCTAGTCTCGAATCAGGGTGTAAGTGATGGTAAATAGGAGGCAGATGGGAACGCGGGGGCAGAGCTGCCGCTGAGGGCTCTCAGCAGCTCCTTCGCCCCGCTCCGTGCCGGGCGCTGTCCGGGCTGCGCACGGTGCGCTTTTGGTATTTGGCCTTTTGAGGGCAGACTGTTTCCGCAGTGTCAGCCTCGGTGGCCAAAAATGATGGGGGATATGAATCAGATGCCTCTGGCCCGTAATAACTGTCTTTCTGCTTGTGATACTAAGATACCCATTTGAAATGAATTGTTGTTTCGAGTGTTATGTTGACAGCAGTGCAGAATGAAGCTAATGATTTTTCCTAGATAAGGGTTTTGACACCAGTGTTTGAAAGTGCCTTCAGATTGACCACCCAAGTTGTGTACCTCCTCCGAAGAAAATTTTGACTCCAGCTTCTTCATGAATCTCATTCTAGGTGAAGATTTAACCCTGTACTGATGTCTTGCAACGCTGTTATTTCCATCTGTAAACACAACTTGGTGGGGGTGGAGGGATGTGAAGTTCTGCTTTTTGTTTTTGTGTGGTTTCCTCACTTTAGAGCAGTGTTTTGCAATTTTCAGTTTGTCCTGTAGTAGTAAAGATGGGTCTTATTAGCTAGTTGTGCTAAGCGCTGCACTAATCTGTGGAGAAACAGTCCCTGTCCTGAAAAAGTAACACGTATTAGATATGGCAGGCAACAGCTGGAAGGGGAGAAGCTACGCACCCAGAAATTTGAGGTTTTCTTTCATCAAAGGGCTTCAGAGATGCTGCAACACCCAACTTTGAGTGTCCTTTCTGTCACTGGAATCATCTCCCTGTGACAGAGACACTCAGGTGTCCTGTAAAATAAATGGAGACGAGTAGGTAACAAACCCCAGGATTTGCAGAAGGCACTAACCTGGCCGGCAGTGATTGCTGGAGGAGACAGGCATTGGGTTTCTCTGGGCGTTCTCAGTCATGAGCCTTTTTTTGGAATTGGCTAAACAAGGTAAACCTCTGTCACGGAAAACTATTAAATAGAGATCCTTCTGCCAATACACCACATGGTTTAGCGAGGTGTCCAAGCAGACATGCTTTCACAGCCTGCTTCGATTTGGTTCATGGACTTGAAGCCACTGATCTTTCTAGTGGAAACTTCCAGTTTGTACAAACCCTACCAAACTGGCCAGCTAGGGCCGTGCTGTCCCCGAGAGCTGTTCGCCAGAGAAGCAGCCACGTCAACCCAGGAGGATTTGGAGAAGGTCTCCTGCCTGCCAGGCACCCTCATCATCTCTGCCCGTGGGTGGAATGGGCTGTTGAAATAGGGCAGCCTTGCTTCGGCTGGTTTTGGTGGGAGGTCTCCACGGTGAAGGAGCTCCAAAGATGCGTCCCAGGTAGGTGGTAAACCAGAGCTGCTTAAAGATGGGATGGCAGAGGAACAGGGAGGGGTTTTTTGGTGGCAACTTGCAGAAAAGTGGGGACCTCTGGTGCTGTAATGCCTGGGTCTTTTTACATGTTTAACCCATGCCAGCCTGTGTAAAGAAAACCCCAAACCCATCCTGGTCCCGTGTGTTTGTTGCCCAGCAGTGAAGCTGTGGAGGAATTATATATAAACCCCAAAGTGCTCTTGCTAGTAACCTGGCTCAGTGGGAAGTGAGGAGCAATTTTGCTGTTATTTTTGAATTATCTTCTCCTGCAGTCACACAGGAAAAGCTTTTCTCACCATGCAGCAAAGGAAATGTAGGAAATGTTCCTTTTTCTTTTTTTTTTTTTATTCAGGTCCATCTCGTCAGCTCCACCTACACAGTGGTGGTGTAGCCAGTTCTCACACGCTTCCTAATAGCCATCTGCCTGTGCAATTAATGGCTTGTCTGTTTTTGCCATAGCTGGGAGGAAAAGACCGAACAAGAGCTTTGAGTATTTGCTTAAAATATCTGAATTGTCTGTGTGGATGCTCCAGGATGGATACTCAGCACTGGCTACGACCAAACCCCACTTTCCTGTTTTGTAAAATATTACAGAGCAACTGACCTTTTCCGTCGTGCCCTTCAAACAGGGCAGGTTTCCCACCTGCTGTGTAAAAAATTAACAGCTGTGGCAACATAATATTCCCAAAATACCCGCTTCTAAGAGCTGAACGCGAGGCTTTTGATGCTGGTTTGAGAGCTACGATGGCTGGCGTCCCGGCTTCCCCGCCGGTGCGTTCAGCGGGTGGGAGAGATGCAGAAAACAGGTCTGGAACGAAGTGCTTCCAACTCTGCTTAAGAAACAGTGTGGAGGTGTTTAGCAGATCACAGAAGTAGATTTGGTTTGTGTCAAGAATAAATATTTCCCAAGACAATAAATAAAGACCCGTGCAAGCTTTCCCTAGCAGCCGATGGGGCAGGGCTCGGCATCAAGGGAGCATGGAGCCAGGGAGGGAATGGGAGCTCTCACGGAGCTGCCGGTGCTCAACAGCCTTAAGTCCTGCCCTGTCTTTGTGTGGATGTGTCCATCCATGTGGATGTGGGCATAGTGGTGTTGGGTTAACAGTTAGACTTGATGATCTTAGAGGTCTTTTCCAACCTTAATGATTCTATGATTCTATGATTCTATGATCTGGAGGAAGACCAGCCCGTCTCCCTGCCAGCCTTCTTTTACTCCCATGCATTAAGAAAAATATGCATTTCTCCCGCGCACAGCTGTTTTGTGACCCAGCCGATGCTCTTTGGTGCTGCAGTGCCTCCAAAAGCGGGGTGGCCATGCCCGAGCCCCTGGGGAACCGCAACGGGACACAGACCATGGTGAAATGAAACCATAGCTGGGTTAGACAGCCTGGCTGTAAAAGTGGGCTTGAGCTTGGATTTGATTACCAGAGTGTCTTAAGATGCAAGGTAAGCTAAAACTAAAGTGTGCGAAAGCAAGGCGAGACAGCTGACCTAACCGATGGCGGTGCTAGAGGGGAGGATGCCAAATCGTGTCCCTCAGCCATCAGCAGGTCCCTTGGGTTGAACCTGAGCTGCGTCAGTGGCAGCTGAAGGACTTTCTGCAGAACATCGGCCCTGTGATACCGCTCTGCGAGGTGGAGGGGTAGGGTTATCACCCTGTGCCTGGGCATGTGTATACATATGCTGGTCCCGCAAGGAGATGGGCAAGAAATGTAAGGCTTGCTGCAAGCCCTGCATCTGTGATACACACAGTCTGTTTCCTTTCATCACACGTGACTTCATTTTTCAGTCTCCTCCAGCTCTGGGTGCTGA